GGGCTCTGAACCTTGTCTGGGGAAGACAGTGGAGCTGACTGACCCTGGTGGTGTGAGTGTGGGTGATCTGGATGGAGGAGGGCCCGGGAGAAGAACTGGCCCTGCTCCTTGTGACAGGCTACCTTGCTGCAGGCTGCGATGGGTGGACTGGCCAAGGCAGTCCCGGAGAGCATGCCCAGGGGGTGCATGGGGCTGTAGACAACAGGGGGAAGCTGGTGGGCAGAGCAGTCCAGCTGATACCCAGGCCCAGGACCGGGGCTGTGGGTTGGCTCACCCCAACATCCGCCTCATCTGTGAGCAGTTGGAGCAGGGGAGGGATAGGAACCTGTGGAAGCAAGGCTGCGGGGTTCCACAACACGGGAGGTGGGGGGTGAGGGCAGGCGAGAGCCCATTGTTGATGGTGTGGCAGAGGACAGGGGCCTGGAGCCAGATCGGTGAGCACGGCAGCGGGCGCTTGCCGGTGAAGATGGGACCAGAGTGTGAAGCCACACCCCAGCTTTCACGACCAAATCTCTCCCCCGCCACCCGCCCCGTTTTCCTTTCTTCTTTCTTGTTTTGCTGCTCTGGTTTGGTTTTGGATTTTTCTTTTACATTTTGTTTTGTTTTGGGGGATTTCCAAGGGCCGAGGGCGGATGTGGGCGTGGGTGATGTGGGAGATGAGTGGGATCCGGATGCATGGTCTGAGGGCCTCAGGGAATCAGTGAAAGTTAATTAAAAAAAAAAAAAAAAAAAAAGAGGTAACCCATAGCTGGAACTGGGCCTTTTGTTTAGCAGCCTATGGTATGTGAGAGGGCATTATCCACCCGTTAGCGTGAAACTCAGTTTAAACTCTTAATGAATTGCGTTTATGGACTCTGTGAAGAGTCTGCAGCAGTCAGTTTCCATACGGCCCTCCCCACGGTCTTCAGTACGAGTTTCCTCTCCACGCCCCTGTGTATTCCCTGTCCTCACTTACTCCTCTTCTTCTCCACGTCACTGGGTTCTTCTGTACCCTTCCCTTGAAATACCCCCAGTGGCTCCTAACTTTCCCGACCTCTGTGACTCCGCCAAGTTAAATTCATCTAAAGACTCAAAGATAGGATCCACTTCAAGCTGTCGGCGTAGATAATGACTTTCTGAATCAGACTCCAGCAGCGCAGGAATTGGCACCAACAATTGGCAAATGGGGCCTATGAGACCAAGAAGCTTCTGAGTAGCAAAGGGCACCGTCCTTAAGTAAAGAGACAGACTAAAGGATGGGAAAATGTTTACCAGCCGTACATCTGATACTGTTAGTCTCTAGAACGTGCAAAAGAATTCTAAACATCAGGAAGACAGCCCAGTTTTAAAATAGGGCATGTAACTAAATACAGAGTTCCCAAAAGAAGTACAACCAGCTAAAAACTATTTTTAAAAATATTCAATATTCACAGCCATAAGGTAAGTGAAAAATTAAAACCACTTTGAGATTTCATCTTACCCCAATCAGAATGACTGAAAAAAAAAACAAACCCTATTTCCTTAAACAAAACAAACAGAAACCGGAGTAACAACAAATGTGGGCACAGATGTGGGGGAAGGGAGACCCACCTGCTCACCACGGTGGGAATGCAAATTGGTGTGGCCGCTGTGGAAATCAGAATGGAGGGGCCTCAAAAAGCAGATATAGATCTAACATCGGGTCCAGCTGTTCCACTTTGGGCAGGCCCTCAGAGAAGTCTGTATCTTTCTATGGAGATACTTACACACCCATGTTCACTGTGGCTTCGGTCCCAATAGCCAGGGAACAGCCTAGGTATTCCTCAGCTGATGAATAGATAATGAAAATGTGATCCATGTACACATTGGAATCTTTTTCATCTGTAAAAAAAATAAAATAAAATTTGCAGGTAGAGGAACGGAGCTAAAACCAATAATATTTGGTTGTATTCATTTTCGTGACAATTAAAACTGCCCAGGTTTCTAATATTGGCATTTCTAACTGCACATGGCTGACAGGAAATAATTTTATTTTATTTATTTATTTTGTCTCTTAAGATAGAGTTTAATGTAGCCCAGGCTGGCTTCAAACTCACTAAGTACTCATGATCCTGCCTCTACCTCCCACGTACTAGATTACAGGTATGAACAACCACACTTGGAGGGAATTCGATTAATTTTTATATGTTAACCTTATATTTAACAACATTGATAAGTATTTTTAATTTTTTTTTTTTTGGTTTTTTTTTTGAGACAGGGTTTCTCTGTGTAGCTTTGCGCCTTTCCTGGAACTCACTTGGTAGTCCAGGCTGGCCTTGAACTCACAGAGATCCACCTGCCTCTGCCTCCCGAGTGCTTGGATTAAAGGCGTGCGCCACCACCGCCCGGCCAGTATTTTTAATTAAGAAGGAAGATAATTTTATTTAATAGGAGAGAATCCAGGTCTTTCATTATAAAAGTTCACAAATATTCATTAAGCATTAAACCTTCATGCTTTTACTTTGTTGCATGGCCTGCCTTCCTCCCTCCCTCCCTCCCTCCCTCCCTCCCTCCCTTCCTTCCTCTTTTCTTTTTCTTTCTTTTTTTGTCTTCTTTTTTTGAGTGTTTTAAGACAGGTTTTGTTTTGTTTTCTGTGTATCCCCAGCTGTCCTGTAACTTGCTCTGTAGACCAGGGTGACCTTGAACTCAGAGATCCATCTGCCTCTGCCTGCCAAGTGCTGGGATTAAAGTCATGCACCACCATGCATGGCTTGGGCATTTCTTAACATGTGCAGACTTTTGATTTTGTACTTGGAAGATAAATATATGTTGTCTCTGTAATGCTTGGAGGCTAATCATGGCACATCAGCTCCATGCTCGATTCTACATCGTTCAGGGAGCAAGTCCTTTAGGTCTTGGATCTCAGTCGTGCACCTGAAAAGTTCTCACGGCAGATCTCACCAGATGGTCCCTCAGGGTTCTGACCCCCACTCTCAACTATATGTTAATAGGTTTTCTCATCAGTTTATCAGATGACCATTACTCAAGTCACATTGCTATTGCTCTATGTGAAGAAAACAAAGGGATTTTAGTGTGGCATATGCTTTCTTTTCTTTTTTTTTTTTTTTTTTTTTTGGTTTTTCGAGACAGGGTTTCTCTGCCTAGCTTTGCGCCTTTCCTGGGACTCACTTGGTAGCCCAGGCTGGCCTCGAACTCACAGAGATCCACCTGGCTCTGCCTCCCAAGTGCTGGGATTAAAGGCGTGCGCCACCACCGCCCGGCTTACATCTGCTTTTTATTCTCAGTTCCTGGTAGCTCCTAAAACTCCTTAGAACCTGGAGTGACAAGAGCATATTTTGTATAGGGATGCCCTGACTTGTGAACGAGGGCCTCCTTCATGAAAGAGCCTGGTCACAGAAAAGACCAAGGCATGATTAGAAAAAAGGCAGAGATTCTCAGCATCCTCCCTTGGTCTCCTGGGAAAGGAGAACCGATCCTCAGTGACCAAAGTCACATCTATGGAAATCTGAAAGGACAGGGTCAGCTGCTTCCTGCTAGCTCTTCCTCGGCAGCCTTCATACCAGAGTTCTGTGAGGTGCTATAGTAACTCAATTGGCCCTGACATGAGCGCTGCAGGACCCCAGATTTGTGGTGCTACTGATAGATTTGAGATTGGCATCTGAAATTGGATAAGGGGCAAGTCTTAAGGACTGAGCTCTCAACCTGTGGGCATCTGGTGCCATCTCCAGGTAGAAGGTGCCAGAATTGAACTGAACTGGGTGAGAATCCTGCTGCACTGGATGAGGCGTCTGATGGAGAGTCTGCTATAGTGGTTGCCAGGTGTGTGTGGAGAAAAACGTGGAAGTGTTCCACGGTGAGTGACTGGGGCTATGGGCACGGACAGGGGATACACCGTCTTTCCCCCTTTGATACCTAGATTGCTGTATGTAGAATCTTGCCTAGCTGAGCTCACAGCAACTTGCAAAGGGAATCTTCTTTCTCACCGTTTTCAGGTGGGGAAACAGACTCAGAAGTCAGCTGACTGGCTCGAGATAAGACAGTGAGGACACTTGCTCTGGTTGGGAGCCTGAGCGGGGAATCTGCTGCTCAGACTCACCTTTCACACAAGAGACCATGGGCCTTTCCTCGCTGTCTTGGAGCCTCAGTTTATACCTCTACAGAATGAGGAGGGTGTTTTTAGTGCCTATCTCGTCTCAGGATAGCAGTGTCACATGCATGGGTCATGCTAAATTTCCTATTAATATATCGATATAGTTAATATTATTAAATTAAATATTATTTGGGCTGGAGAAATGGCTCAGCAGTTAAGAACACTTGTTGCTCTTCCCGTGGACCAGAGTTCAGTTGCCAGAACCTGTGTAGATCAGGTGGCACACAACCACCAGTGACTCCAGCTCCAGGGGATCTGATGCCCTCTTCTGGCCTCAGTGAGCACTGCACTCATGTACCCATACCCCTCCAAGACTGTAACAATTTAAATAGAAAATAAATCTTTAAAATATATTATTATCACTACCGTGATACTTCGAATTGCTTCTCTAGAAACAAGCAACTTTAAAGTGGTCAGTGCTTTGCACACAGTTGATACTCAGCAAACACTGCTTCCCTTCTGTAAATATTTGGTCCCCCCAACTTATTTTCTGAATGTTCCCAGCGGCCACCAAGCTGTCATCGCAACTGTCAACAGCATTTCACCGCCTTGCACCCTGCTCATCCCACCCTCTGCAACTGCCCACCAGAGCCAGGCACCTAATGGTAGATGGCAGACGACGCTGGACATCGGGAACGGGAAAACAGGTGTTTGGTTCTAGCTGGAACTTTTTGGAAGCCAGACGGGCCACCGTTATTTACCACACAAACAGATCAGCTGGAGAAACTCCAGGCTGGTGGCAAGCTGAAGTGCCTGGAAGCCAGACAAAGACAGGCCGTGGAGGACGAGCCTTCCCTTGCAGGCTTGCCTGCTCTTCTCTCCTGGGCAGAGGCTGACACAGTTGAATGGGCCAATGGAGAGTAAGCTCGGAGAGAACGCCCTCCTTAATTTCCCCAATGGGAAGGAGTTTTGTTTTCCCTGTCTCGTAGGAAACCAGGCTAACTGGTCACTGGAAACAAGTCTTGGTGCCAGGGCCTCCGCTGGCGAGATTCAAGACTGCCTTCTTAGAGACAGGTATCTGAACCCCCACTTTTGACTCAGGGGTCATTCTGTCTGCACTCTGGGAGTTTGGGGGTGTGTCTTGGTGGGATTGGGGCCAGAGATCGATTCTTATCTTTCTGGCTCTCCTTCCCCCACCGGGCAGCTGGTTATTCCTAGCCACAGGTTGCTCTCACCCTTGTGTTAACTTACTAGAGCTACGGAGAAAGCTGCTGGGCAGGCAAAGCCGCCGTGGAATAGCGGGCTGGTAAGGGCATGGCTGGCTGTCTGCTATTACACCCCCTGGGAACACGGCCAGGACTTCGCTCCTCCGGCCTTCCCCACAGGACTGTCCTGTGCCCCCTCAGCTCTGGCCGGCTGGCGTCTCAGCTCGCCTGCTCAGAAACACACACACACACACACACACACACACACACACACACACACACACGCACACACACACACAGAGCTTAGTAATAGAAACAGCACACATTCAAACTCCCTGAAAGGCTTCAGAGACTCATAGAATCGGAATCATACGGAGTGAGGGAGGAGGCAGAGAACCATCCAGAGCCAGACCACATGACATCTGTCATGGTTGATTCTACCTGACCTTACGCCCGGCTATTGCTCTTTGCGAGAAGGGATTGTGCCAAGGACAGGCTTTTATGCTGACAGCTGGCTGGGTATTAAAACTTTGCCCCGCAAAGTGGCAATGACTAACTAGAATGATTGTTATATGTGTACACACACACACACACACACACACACACACACACACACACACACACACGCGCGCACACACACACACTATACACACACACACACACACACACACACACACACACACACACACACACACACATATTTTAATCTCTCCTTAGTTTGGAATTGAGCCAGACAGAGGGAGCTGGGCAGGGAGCAGATATAGCAAGACAAAGAAGTGAAGGCACGTAGAGAGGCTTCCAGGGGAGAGTACTGAAATCTTTGCCACCCTCTTTGCCTCCCACACAAGATGTCAGCCTTCGGGTGCCTGACACAGGCACCTGGCACCTATGTTTTTCCTATACCCTCCCACAAGAGGCCTGTTTGGGAGACAGCCTCCATGGCCTCTCATTTCCCACTTAAGGGGATAGGAATTCATTTGGTCTCGTCTTCGGATGAGGGCATGGAGGCTCGAAGACCATGGCCGTTCCTTCATGTTACAGGACCATCCATGGCGCAGTCCAGCCAGGAGCCCGGCTTTCCTTATTTTGAAAATACGCTGTCCGGGTAGGGCGGTTCAGGACCAGAGTTACGAGCATAGGAGGAGAGTGATGGGAGTCAGGAAGCTGGGAAGGGGGCACTGGTTTCCAGAGACCGTGAAGAGGAGAAAAGAGGCTATGGTTTCAGTCACTCAAGCCCTCCCAGATGCTACCATTCAAAACAGATGTGCTCAAATGCTGGGGGTTGGTGCCTCTGTGTCTGCTCCCCAGCGGGTCCTAGGAGCAGAGGTCACAGCTCAGCAGCTTTCCAGGCCTTGATTACCTCACCAGCACTCGCTAGGATGTGCCCATAGGGGAAAAGTTCAAGCATGCGCACAATGACTAGAAATCTGCCCCCAAATGCCATGTGATTACTGGTGGGGAGCGTGGCAGGCAAAGCTAGGCTGGTTTTGTTTTGGTCGCTGATGTTTATAGAGACCTCATTGTGCACACTGTTATTTAATGGAATGAGTTCAAAGAGTTGCTGGGCTTCACCCACGGGAACCTCAGGAGGAAGTCTTAACTCTGGCTGCCTGACGCAAGGAAAGAATTGTAGGTTCGGAATTCATCTGGGCAGAATGATGATTCCCTAAACAAGGTGGCATCCAGTTTGCATTTCCCCCCTCTCAGGCCATGGACACGGTGCGCATTGCAGTCATCGGAGCTGGCGTGATAGGGCTGTCAACGGCCGTGTGCATTTCCCAGCTGGTCCCCCGATGCTCTGTGACTGTCATCTCAGACCAGTTCACTCCGAATACCACCAGCAATGTAGCAGCTGGGATGCTTATTCCTCACACTTATCCAGGTGAGAGGTGGGTGTATTTGCAAGTGCTAATTTTACATGAGGTGCCTTTCTTGTGACCACTGCTCAGAGTTCCTTTGCTTATACCAGGCGTGAGTGAGGGATCCTGAAGGCTGCCTGGTGTCCCCTGGGGCATCTTTAAAGGAGGCACTTCTGAGAGGGCATCCAAATCACCTCTGCTCCCTCTGTGGCTGAGAGCCTTGGTGTCCTGGATCAGCTTCTCCATCTTTCTGCTGTTGCTGGAGGAAGGCTTTGCTCTGTTCCCCAGACTTCTGCCTTGGACATGATTGAGTCCAGCGCTAGTAATAAATATGCTCCATGCCTGTCTGGTAGGCTCTTGCGAGGGTTAAGTGAGCTAATATTCACAGAGCTCAAAACAGTGCCCTGCACAGAGCCATCCATCCATCTGCATTTGCAATTATTCCCGCTACTCTGGCTACTATAGTTTCGTTTGCCCAGCACTTGAATATGAATTAGGTCACCATGCTTGCTCAATCCGCAGTTGAATTGGAGTTGTCTGGTATTTGGGGATGATTTCTGTAGCATGTGGCCCTTAGCCACTATTCTGTGTTTAGGGTTCAGGGGTAGGAACATGGGGATGTGTATTAAATCATCTCTCCACACTGACATAGGTCCTTGGAGGACAGTCCATTGAGGTCTAATATAATTCTGCAGTGCAATTCTTATTTCTTCTTTGTCTCTAAGCAAGCAGCCTGTCTGCAATTTTGGAAGAGTGTTGCATTCACACAGGCACACTTTTCATTGATGACAATGTTTATTCACTGTCAAAGGGATATTTATTGGTTTTATAACCAGTGATTCATTTAAAAGTCTTGCTACTAATACGTCTTTATTGACCTAGGGTCAATTAAGGAGTCTCTCAGTTCTTTCTGTTGTCCCAAATATGTGCCTGGCTGGATTTCCCAGTCATACACTCATTCCTGCTCTGGCTGGCATCTTGGGCATATACCTTGTATGCTTGTGGCTCCCGTGTCAGGCTGCCCTGCCTAGCCTGTTTCCTCTCCATCAGTAAATCATTACAAGAGTGGGTCAGTGCCTTGGCTCAGTGTGCCGGGCTCTGCTGACTCCCCATGGGAGACCTTGATTTGGGGGATGTGGGGATGTGGGGTGGCTTGGGAGGGAGGGCTCACGGGTGGGAGGGGGAGGAGGTGGGATCTGTGGGTGGTATGTAGAGTGAGTAGAAAATTTCTTAATAAAGAAAAATGAAAAAAAAGTGGGTCAGACGGACACATCGACGTTGAAACCTCGGTGTGTTCTGTCTGAACGCTCCTTCCTGACGACGTTTGTGTCATGATCATTTCCTCTCTGTGCCCTTCGCTTCTCTCCACGGCTACACAGACACGCCTGTGCCCACGCAGAAGCAGTGGTTTACAGAGACCTTCCGGCACTTGTCTGCAATCGCCGAGTCTGCAGAAGCTGCAGATGCGGGTGTTCACCTGGTGTCTGGGTAAGAAAGGGAATCGGAAGTCGTAGAGTTAGAACCACACAGGCGGATCCCAGAGATCAGCAGGAGGGAGTTGTAAGAGGGAGGACTTAGAAATGACTTCGGAGAACTTGAGAAACACTGCTTAACAGAATTAGGTTTTTTTTTTTTTTTAATAAAACAGATAACCATTGCAATTTCTTATCACAAATATTTTTTTTTGAGTTTTTTGAGTTCAAGGAATGTGAAGTGGTTTGAAAATATGAAGAAAAACAAGCAAAGATCCTTAGTTGTGAATAAACACTGAATTTGAGTGTGTGGAGGGTGTTGTAGCCACACTGGAATGGACACAGAGACCTTAGGCAGAGAGATGCCTTATGTAAATAAGAATATTAGAAAATGAGATGTCCCCCAAAAGTAAGTTTTGTACATCCTAAAGTTGCTTTTGGGGGGAGGGGTAGTGTTGGAAATTGAACCCAGGGCCTTGTGCATGCTAGGCAAGTGCTCTACAATTGAACTACGTCTCCAGCCCAAAGTCATCTCTTGAAGTGCAACTTGGAATATAGTGTTTCTGAAATGCTTAATACCTTTCTGTATGTTAATATCTGATTTAGAGGCAATGCATACTTAAGTGAGGTTTTAGAATAAGCCCCATTTAACATTTCTGACACAAACAGCACTTAAAACACAATAATTTTGTCCTACATCCTCCTAAGTAGAGATTATTAAGTGTTTTAGCATCTTTAATTTGGGTATCCGTGGCACCAAATGACAAAAGATGTTTGTCATCTATGCTAGCCCTCTGAAGAGCAGGTGACGCTTCCCTTTTATGATGTTTCCAACTGCTATTCCATCCTTGTGCCATCGAGACTATTTTAAAAGTACCAGTCTTGGAATTGGAGAGATGGCTCAGTGGTTAAGGACATTTTCTGTTCTCACAGAGGACCTGGGTTCATGGAACCCACATGATGACTCATAACCACCTGTATCTAGTTCGAGAAGATCTGGTGTCCCCTCTGGCCTCTGTGGGCTCTTGCCTGAATGTAGTGGACAGAAAGGCATGCAGGCACACATGCATATACATATAATAAATAAGTAAACAAACATTTTTCAAAAAGCAGCAGGAGAAAAAAATGCTCCAGGCTCCATGGACACCTCTTTTAAGTGCATACTTGTATCAGAAGGATTTCTGATCTTTCTCTTCTTGCCTTCTGTGGGTGGATTGAATCAAAATGGTCCCAGAGGCCCATAGGGAGTAGCACTATTAGGAGATGTGGCCTTGTTGGGATAGGTGTGGTCTTGTTGGAGGAAGTGTCTCACTGGGGTGGGCTTTGAGGTCTCAGAAGCTCAAGCCAGACCTAGTGTGTCTCTCTCTTCCTGCTGCCTAAGGAACTGGATGTAGAACTTTCAGCTCCTTCTCCAGCATCATGTCTGCCTGCATGCTGCCATGTCCTGCCATGATGCTAATGGACTAAACCTCTGAAACTGTAAGCCAGCCTCAATGAAATGCTTTCCTTTATAAGAGTTGCTGTGATTATTTTGTCTCTTCACAGCAATAGAAATCCTGACTAAGACACCTTCCCTCACCATGTAATCACCAGGATGGATGGTGACATCCTTACTTTTCCAAAGTCCCTACCCAAAGAAGCAGGTTTTGCTTAACCATCAAACCATGGACTTCTTTTTTTTAATGGCAAGATGTAGTCTTTCTCTCCAAGGTTAGTTTCTGAGCCATATTGAAGCATGGTGTTCATGTTATGGTCATGCTGAACTTGTTCCAAAAACCAATAGGAATTCATCAGTGTTGTCTCTAAGTAATTTTTAGAAACAAACATATTCCAATAGTCTTTCATTTCAAAATGAAAGCTTTACAAATATCTTGTGTATCTTTGATATAACTTTAATCTTCAACTAATTCCTTCAAAATGAATTTTGGTAGCACTCTCTATACCTGGTCTTCCAGGTCTTAGAGATATGGCAATGAAGACTTTTACATATAGTAAATGCTTAATAAATATGTGTTAAGAGAATTTTACAGAAGACCAGTGTTTGTGGCCTGTTGGGAATGTCCTAAACCTTACAAGCTACTAATGGGGACATCTGTTACCAGAGGCTGGAGTATAGAGAGCTGTGGAGACATGTGTCTGGAGAAGAAACTTACTTCAGAAACTCATCAGAATCCATGTAGCAAAAAGTGATTTCTTTGAGGCCCTCAAGATGAGTGTAAGTTAGTACAGGTAAAGGGACAGAGAGAGGGTGGGCTCAGAGGAGACAAACCCAGATAGAGAGGACAGCCCCCACACTGAGCAGTCTCAGGTGACTGTGGTGTATTGAAATCCACAGTATTGAGCAGCCACTGGGGTATTTGACACAGTGAGGTAACTGTCCATTGCAAAGGCATTTTATCTGTATGTCGAGACTAAACTGGTGGAAAGGAATGAGAGTGCATACGTGGGTAGTGTGGAGGTAGAGTCGATGGATTTGAGAAATGATTAAAAAGAGATTTGATGGGGTTTAATTGTTAAACTGGGTGGCGGTGGCGCACACCCCTGGTCCCAGCACTTGGGATGCAGAGGCAGGTGGATCTCAGTGAGTTCTGTGCCAGCCTGGTCTACATAGTGAGTTCCAGGACAGCCAGGGCTACATAGAGAGACCCCATCTCAAAAAATGGAAAAAAAAAAAAGTTCCTGGTCTGGGGAAGTAGGGATCAAGGAGGGTTCTTAGTTAACATTTTAGAGTTGGGTACTGCTGGAGGGGGAGGGGAGGGGGCAAAGTTGTGGAGGAGGGCCACATTGCCCAGGCAGGGTATGCACAATGATGAGGAGGAGGACTTGCCATGCGTAAACAACACTTCTCCCTTCGCAGGGTCTGCTTTGGGTGAATTGTTCTACTTAGAGACACAAACTCTGGTATGTTAGCAACCACATCTTCAGCATGCAGACTTCTGTCTTGATGCGTTAGAGTAAGGATGATTGCCAATTGCTCATGGAAGCGGCCCAGTACTTAGAAAGTCCAAATGTGTTGCCACTATTGGCAGTGTGTTATAGGCTCCTTCTTCTCTTTTTTATGTATCTAAAGTTTTTTAAAAATTATTTTTATCAATTCTTGGAAAATTTCATGCAATGTACTTTGATAAGATTCATCCAGCATGATAGGCTTCTCATTGACCACCAATACCACTGTAGACTCATCACCCCCACTGTGCTGTGGCCCCCAACAGGTTCCTCTGGTGATTCCTTACTTAATAGCCTAGAACTTGACTTAAAAGTCACACATCTTCTTCCTTCCAATTATCTAGGTATGGTGGCGCACACTTTTAATCCCAGCACTCAGGAGGCTGAGGCAGGTAGATCTCTGTGAGTTGAAGCCTGGGTTATATAGTGAGTTCCAGGACAGCCAAGGGACTGTCTCAAAAGCAAGCAAGCAAGCGAAATCTTACCAATTAAGATATCATGTTCCAAATCAAGGCTAACTTTTGAATTTCTTATATTTTTCCTTTTTTTCTTTATATGAAGTATTGTGTAAAACATTAAAAACTTTCCTCGAAAATATGTAGTCACGTGAAAATAGGAAATCATGGTAAAAACATTTCAGAAAAGCCAATTAAATCTTTTTAGGTAAAATTCATAGTCAACATGTAAAAAGGAAATCATGGCAAAAACATTTCTGATAAAGTTAAATTAAATTGAAGATTTAAAAAGACACACTATTTATCTTTTGTCATGCTGTGGACTGAAAATCTGACGTGCCAGCTGGGAGCTCTGCCACTGAGTAAACTCCCAACCCTGCGAATGCTTTACATGTCTGACTCCTTCAGCCGTAAACATCTGAACTCTGGCTACTCAGGTTATCTGAACCCAAGAGAGTGGAAGAATCGATCTTTTCTTCTATGTTTATAGGAAGTGAAGTTTTAAAATGCTTTAGGGAATCTTATATGGACTTTATGAAAAATACAAGATTTCCCAACATTTAAGGAGCATCTTCTGCTTCCCGTGCCTCAGTTGGCAGGTATTTCGGAATGTTCCCACCGAAGAGGTGCCTTTCTGGGCTGATGTCGTTCTGGGATTTCGAAGGATGTCAGAAGCTGAGCTGAAGCGATTCCCTCAGTATGTGTTTGGTCAGGCTTTTACAACTCTGAAGTGCGAGACTTCTGCCTACCTCCCATGGCTGGAGAAAAGGTCGGTTGAAATGTCCCTGTCTTCCCGTTTGACATGGTGATAAATTATTGCACAGCTGTTCATAAAACACTCTGGGGCTCTCTGGGGCTCCTCAGGGCTCTCTTGTATTGTCTTGCTGCTCACAAACGAATGGCCAGGGCTCTGTGGAAGCCTCTGGAGAGTGTACGTGTGTCAAGGACCAAGTCCGCACCACACTCACGGTAACTAGGTGTCTCATTTGTCCCCATTCCCTCCAAGAAAAGCCAGTTACTGAAATTTTAGTTTCCTCATTTGGAAAATGGAGGCATTGAGATAATGCATTTACAGCTTTAGTTCTTTGGAAGAGAAAAATCTTACATTTATCATAAATTATTTTTCATTTTTTCTTATTTTCAGTGAGACTAGCTTATTATTATTATCTTATTATTATTATTACTATGATTATTATTAATTTAGTTATGAATAAGAACATTAAAATTGAGGGCTTATCTAAAGTATGTAATTGCTTCCTTAAAATTCAGTCCTTGAACCTTTCATTTTGGCTTGGTTTTCAGAACTTCCTGTTCCCAGCCTGTTAGAATACACAGCAAGAGTGTCTTGGCTTGAGACACATCAATACATCTCTTGCTGGTTCACTCATCCATTGCATGAGGTTGTTCCACAAGCCCTGTCCATTCCCAAATCTCTGGGTACAGGGTCAGTAACCTTTATCTGAAATGTTTGGGACCAGAGATATTTTGAAATTCAGTTTTCTTTTTGTTTTGTTTTTTTAATCTACTTAATGAGTCTGGCATCTGGCCAGATGGCCAATATGGTGGATGATGAAGGCTACCTACCCCATTTTCTTCCATGAAAGACTTGGGCAAGGCCTTGTTGCAGCCCAAGAGGAGCCCTTTAGGCTGGTGAGAGGCGGGACGGTGTCACGTGAGGGAATAGGACATCTGGGGCTCACTCTGTGGGCTGGGCAGACCCAGATGGGCAGCCACACAATCCCTGCTGTTCCTTCCACTTGGGCCTGTTCTGTTTCCTCCTACGCCTCTTCCCCACAGTGTGAGAGCACTCAGCCTTCTGTGTCCTCGTTCGGAAGGGAACATTCCTCCCAGCAGGCCACGTAGCAATGGCCTCAGCCTCAGCGCCTGCAAGGATGTTACATCAACCCAGGAAACACAGATCATGTTATTACAACTTAGACCGTTAATTTTTTTTTTCCAAGAACAGGAAAGATCATCTCCTTCTCAAACATGGCCCTTAGTGTCTAAAACGACCCAGCACACAAAAAGCCCTGAGAGGCTTAATCACCCGTGCAGGTAATATTTTATATCGTCAGACAGTAAAGCCACACACTTGGCTGCTTTTTGGCTTGCCATCCCAGGAAGTGAATCATAGAGGCAATAGGTCTCCTGCCAAGCAGTCTACCTAAATAAATTATCCTGAAGGGGCCAGAGCCACCCTGCATTTGATGATGTCTAGAAAGCCTGGTGGTGCCTTTCAAAGCTAGAGGCCTATAACTTAGATGAGCTGATTTCTTTCCAGGATGCCAGGCCTTATCCCTTGGCCCTGAGGAGGCCCACACAGAACACAGCATGGACCTCCCTGCCCACTCTGTTGCTTTTTCTGGGCAGGCTTTGCATCCCCTAGTTTTGCTCATGTTCTTTGTGTTCTCCCCCTGCCTGACTCTTGTGCTTTCCTAGGAAGTTAGATAGAAATGCTCTCCTGCATGGCACATCACCCAGGGGACAGGCTCTCCTGCATGGCACATCACCCAGGGGACAGGCTCTCCTGCATTGCAAGCACCCAGGGGACAGGCTCTCCTGCATGGCACATCACCCAGGGGACAGGCTCTCCTGCATGGCACAGCACCCAGGGGACAGGCTCTCCTGCATGGCACATCACCCAGGGGACAGGCTCTCCTGCTTGGCACATCACCCAGGGGACAGACTCTCCCAGTTTTATGCCTGTCCGACTTTCAAGAGCCTCTTCTCGTGTGGAACAGAGTCTTGCTCCTCCTGTCCAGCACACATGAGCCTATTGGAACATCGCCTCTCCTCTGACATATCCCTTAGGTTCTCAACCCTGGGGGTCCTGTATCAGATATTCTGCACATCAGATATTTACATTATGATTTGTAACAGGAGCAAAATGACAGTTATGAAGTAGCAATGAACTCATGTTACACTTGGGGGTCACCACACCCTGAGGAACTGTATGAAAGGGTCACGGTATTAGGAAGGTTGAGAACGACCGCTTTAGGGGTTGCCTCCCTGTCCTACATCTGTTCTCCAGTGCCTGGTCAGAGGAGTGTGAGACGGTAGGGCTCCAGTGCAGAGTTGAGTGTGCTCACTGTTGGTTTCTTCATGGTGGACAAGGACAAAGGGAGAGGACACTGTCAGAGGTGGGAAGAAGGTGCCGTTCGCGTTTCCTGATGGTGGTGCTAAGGCTTGTATGGGACAGATGAAGAAGGCTGTGTGGGGTGCAATGGCTGTGGTGACTTTTTATTAAGATGCTCTAAGGCATCTTCCTGGCTGCATTTTCTTCCTCAACACTTCCTCTATGGACTAAGGGAGCATGGCCGCTCCCCTTCAGGACCGTCTGCCTATAAACGCCCTGGACCACATCCGTATACGCTCCTCCAAGGGACCAGAGGCTGTCTTACACATGATGCCCGGCGTGTCCTGGAGTGATCTTATGTATTCACGGAATAGGACCAGCCTGGGGTGGACACTCAGAGAAGTGTGCAGAAGCATGCAGTTCATTGTGAGGGTGTTCGTGAGGGCAACAGTCAGCAGACGAGAGATGTGGTCAGGGCAGAATTAGACCATACGCATTTGGTGGCTTTGTAAACCTAACATCCGTTTTAGAGCTCTAACTATGGGAACTTGTGTTGGGCATAGCGACAGGAAGCGTTGCTATGAAGAAACTAGGTTTCCCCTGTAAATCCGTATGCATCTGACTTGCCAAGTGAAATTTAAACTAGTCTTCTTTTTTCTTCTTGCTGTTTTTGAGCAAACTGACTGAACACAGTTGGTTTTTTGATCTCTGATGGTAAGGTGTCATTCTTTGGGTTGAGAGCAGGGCTTCCATTGGAAGGCCGGCTAGCAATGCATGTATAATAATTCCAATATAACTCTCTAGTGAAGTTTCTGTCCTTGATCCCAGTCCTGGCCATTCCTACCTCTCTTCATTTCAGACGCTCTTCATCTTCAACACGGCTTCCAAGCCCCTTGCTGGGTCTCACCTCCCTACTCCAATCTGTTTTCACATGGTGACTAAAACCTCATTTTGATTGACTTTGGAGACCTCCCCCCAGAGTCACCTCTACGCATTCTAGGGTAAGAGGAGAGCTGACTCCATACCAAGAGAGACGTCCTCCTTCAGATACCAGAGCTGTTAGGATCAGAGCTCCTGGAGGCCCTAGTAAACCAGGTTTGGCCCCGTCCTCCATAAGCCAATCACACACACAGGTGACAGCGAGAAGTAGGAAAAGGAGCGTTATTCAGTCTAGCCACATTGTGAGGAAAATCAAAGAGGTCTAGTCCACCCCCCAGAACCAGATCCACCTCCAGGGTGCTGAAATTAGGGTTGGGTTTAAATCGAAGGCCAGAGGTACGTACAGGCGAACAGCTCTGGTCAGGGTGTGGTCTGCCTCCCTCCACTGTGTCCACCTCTGGTCTTCATGGCAAGGTGGGCTAACCAGTCAGAGCTGCATAGAACCTCTTTCCAGGAGACATCCAGCACCCCATGCCTGACACCAGGGCCTCAGCCTTCTCCCAGCATGGGATTCCTGGGGAAACCTCAATTTCTTGGGGTCCATTTTTCATTAGTCTGATAGCTAAAATGAGAGGCACAAATGTCTCTCTATAGTATCTTCACTCCTGTAAGGGTGGGCACATTCAGTTCTGAACCCCAACTCTAGGCAGCCCTGCTCTGCCTCCAGCCTCCTCCATGTTTTTGGAATTGGTAACCGCACCCTGAGGGAAGATGCTCAGATGTCTGAGATGCCAGCTGGGCATCGGCACAGTCCCAGCCTCCTTCCTCTTGGCCAAGGCACAGAAGTTTCCAGGGCATATAGTCTGCAGAGGTGTAGCCCCAAGTCTTCTACCTTCTCTTCAGAGTAGACGTACACCTGCAATAGGAGTTTTCACTTTGTAGCTCTGCAATGCAGAGGGTAACATTTGGATAACATTCTCAAAATAATGTATTGTGTGTCTCAAAGGAGTGATTGGCAGCTTAGAAACCATCTGAATTTTAAGTGATTAAAAATGTCTATTGTTGGCCAGGGGGCAGTGGCGCACACCTTTAATCCCAGCACTCAGGAGGCAGAGCCAGGCGGATCTCTGTGAGTTTGAGGCTAGCCTGGTCTACAGAGCAAGATCCAGGACAGGCACCAAAACTACACATAGAAACCCTGTCTCAAAAACAAACAAACAAACAAACAAAAATGTAAAAAAAAAGCTTATTGTTTCTCATTTTCTATTCATTAAGTTCCTCTCAAACCATTAGAATGTGTTTCAGTGAGCTGATTCCAGGTGAGGGGGTCCCAGGACACAGTTGGTAGCTCTGTGGGGTTTGCTTGCCTCTTCCCTGGGCTGTGCCCTCCCTCCTGCCCTGTTCCCCCACCCAAAGGTCCCTGTGCCCCCCAGCAGTATTTCTCCAGCAGAGCCTCTTCTTCCCGCTCTTTAGTTAACGGAGCTCCCTACTCCTCGTGGATTATGGGGCTGTGGTGCGCTCTCCTTGCAAAATGGGGTCTCGCTCTCTGTCAGAATCTTTAGAGGAAAGTGACTGAGCATTTTCTGTCCCCAGCTGCTGCAATAGCAGCTTCACATGGTTGTGAAAGCAAAGTTCTAGGCGCCCGGTCATCTGAGTTAATATCTGGATGCTGTTTCCTCCTCTACACAGGGGTCAGGCTTGATGTACTGCCTGAGATATAAAGTGATGGGTGAGCAGCACTGGGTGACCTGTCTCTGGGCATGTGCAGCAGGTTTCTTCCTAGGAAAGAGGTCCAAGAGGGGCCCGGCACAGCA